GGGAGGGGGGAGTTCCCCGGGTGGCAGCGCCGGGGCGGACGGGAGACCCCCGGCATCCCGCGCCTCCGGCATCCCGGCGTCCCTGCTCCTGCATCCTCGGCATCCGTACTCTTGCATCCCCGGCATCCCGGTTCCTGGCAGGGCAGATGCCCCAGCGCCTCCCGCCCCGTGCCTGCGGGCGGGACCCCCCCATTCTTTGCGGGACGGACCCCCCATCCCTTGCGAGAGGTGCCTCCATGCCTCTCCAACTCTGCAGGAGGGATCCCCCGGCTCTGTGCAGGAGGCTCCCCCAGCCCCAGCTCTGTGCAAGAGGGATGCCGGGGCAGCCCCAATTCCTCGCAGGACAGCCCCCCTTCCTGCTTCTCTCAGGAGGAATGCCAGGGACACTCCTCTATTCCCAAGCCCCTCACAGGATTGATGGCGGAGACGCCTTCCCCCAGCTCCTGGCAGGAGACATTCCTGCGCACCTCTAGATTCTTGCAAGAGGGACCTCCCGTCCCCCGTGGTGGTCTGAGGCCAGAGAAGGGGGGCTGGAAGATGGGACCAGGGCCCCCCGCATTCCCTCTGCTGCAGCACTGAGGGACCCCCCGCCTTCCCTGGCGCCTCCGGGACCGCAGCTGCCAGGCTGGCGTGTCCCCAGCATCCCTGCCCGCTGCGTGCCACCACGCGTGGCGGAGCGTGACTCCGAGCACGAGCTCGGCCCCCGGCCCCTGAGGACGAGGGGAGGGGGGAGGGAAATCTGGCGGCAAACCTCGAACCCTGGAAATTTCCGTGGGGAGCCAGAAATCGGGGTGACTGCATCCCGTGGTCCTGCTGGGAATGCGCCGGAGTAGGCAGGGGCGAGCGGGACAGCCCGGAGCATCCCCATGGAGGGCGCGTTGGGTGCTTTGTGCGGGAGGCGTGGAGGCAGCGGGACTCCGGGAAGCATGGAGATGGTGCGGGCGAAGGCATATTTGCGGCGTGCCAATCCCCCCCAGCCCGTCTGGCACCGGGGGGGATCTGCGTCAGCGTCCCGGGTGGTCTCGCTCGGGCATGACCGAGGGGATGGAGGAAGCGGAAAGGATGGAGGCAGCGACCCTCGGAACCCAAGGCTGGGGGGCTGTGTAAGGGTGCACGCACGCCCTGTCATCACCCCTGGAAGTGCAGGGAGTCTCCCCACTCCCTGTGTCTTCCCGGAGGGGGCTGTAACCCACCACCCGGACATGGCAGCGAGCCAGACGTGCGGGTTGCTGCGACCATCTCCCGGGACTGCAGCAGAAGGGAGCCTGCGGCGTGGGGGCACAGCTCGGGGTCCCGGGAGGGGGGGCACAGCTGCGACTCCCGGTGCCGGAGGCGATGGGTGGCCGTGCCGGGGGTGCTCCGGCCGCGGCGCAGATGGCGGTGCGGGTGTCGGCACCGCGCAGGCGACGGAGCGGGTGTGCGGAGCAGACGTGTTTGCTCTGACAGCTGCGGCGTCTCGCTGCAGCGAAAGGAGCAGCGCCGGGGAGGTTTGGGAGCCGGGGGGGGAGGATGTGGGTCACCCAAGGGAAGGATGCTCTGGAGCATCACCCTGTCACGCTGACCTCGCTGCTGCTGCTGCTGCTGTCCTAGGGATGTGGCAATCCGGCTGTGTAGAGGAAAAAGTGATGTGTAGAAGGGTTTTTTCCTTGCCACTGGGGAGATGGTGCCCTTTGGGAGATGCTGAGGGAAGCTGGCATCCCAAAAACAACCAGGGAGGAGGGGATTGAGAGCAAGGAAGTGCCCTGCAGCTGGGGGATGGCTTCCATGGGTCAGTGCCATAGAGCCAGGCTGGGCAACTTGCCCCTTGCAGAGAAACTCTTTGTGGGATGTGGGATGTGGGATGGAGAGAGACTTTGGACAAGGGCATGGAGTGACAGGACAAAGGGGAATGGCAATGGCTTCAAGCTGACAGAGGGCAGGGTTAGATTACATATTAGGAACACATTTTTCCCTTAAGGGTGGTGAGGCCCTGGCACAGGTTGCCCAGAGATGCTGTGGCTGCCCCATCCCTGGAAGTGTCCAAGGCCAGGTTGAAGCAAATTTGAATAGTAGAAGGAGCAACCATGGCAGAGGGTGGAACTGGATGGTTTTTAAGGTCTTTTGCAACCCCACTCCATGACTCTCTGATTCTATGCTCCGAGAGGGGTCTTGGAGGCAGAAACCATGTGAGGTCTGAGCCCACAGCCCCACTCCCAGGGTGATGGCAGCAGCAGGCAGAGGTGAGCATGGCCAGAGCAGGGCCAGCTGTGTTTTGGGGTCCCTGTCAGCTTGGGAGGTCAGGAAGGCACTGCTGGAGACACAGACAGAGCAGACGGCAGCAGGGAAGGTACAGATGAGTCACAGACCTGCGGCGTGGGGAGCCGGGGCTCTGCGTGGCTGCTGCAGTGACAAGGCACACACAAAAAAGCCCTGTCACGACGAGTGCAGTGTGTAGCTGCCCACCTACAGCATGTGGAGCTGTACCAAGCATGGCTCTGTGCTGGCTCCCCACTGGGATCCCCCTGTGCCATGCCAGTGTGCCTCTGGCACAGCCCATGGCGCCACGTGCATGGACAGAGGGAGGGGACAGAGGGGCTGTTGGTGGGAGGCTGGAGGGGTCAGTGGTGTGGCCACAGGCAGGGGTCTAAGGAGGGATCCCCCAAGGAGGTCCCCCTGCCATGGGCAGAGACACATTCCACTAGAGCAGGTTGCTCCTGAGAGGGTCCAAAGGCAGGATTGGTGAGCAGAGCTGCATCTGGAGCTCTTGGCCAAGCCCAGGCACCTGGTCATGTTGGAACATGGGATGTCAGAGGCTCTGGGCAGTGGGGAGGGGTCACCTGGAGGTGTCACAGTGAGGAGGAGGAGGAGGAGGTGGTGACATGGGGAGCAGTGCCCAGTGGGATTGGCCCCATGGCCTGTTATCCTGTGTTGCAGCCAAGGGGAGCATGTGCTCAGGCTTCTGGCACAGGGAGCCAGCAGCAGGTTTGGCAGCATCCCGGCAGGTTCTCCTGCCAAGTGCTGCACAGACAGGATCCTGGATAATGCTCCGGGGGGTTGTTAGCGGTTCGGAGGCAGCTTCCCTGTGGTCTGGAAAGCTGCCGGAGATCATCAGTGCCCAAGTCCTTGCTGATCCCTGCTCATTCCCTGGCCAGTGTGAGTGCACACGGGGGGTCTGGTGCTGGGGGGTCACTGCAGGGGGCTGCATGGGCTCTGCCTCCATCCCACAGGTACGACGCAGGGAAAGACGGCTTCATTGACCTGATGGAGCTGAAGCTGATGATGGAGAAGCTGGGGGCTCCACAGACACACCTGGGCCTGAAGAACATGATCAAGGAGGTGGATGAAGACCTGGACAGCAAGCTCAGCTTTCGAGAGGTGAGGGGTGAGAGGGGCTGAGGGGCTCCACGCTGGCAGGGAGGTGTCCCCAGCTGCTGTTCGTGGTGGAGAGAAGGTGGGGAAGGGACCGTGGAGGCTTTGGGGTCTGTAGGAAGCTGATACCACTGTCTCCCCTCGCAGTTCCTGCTGATTTTCCGGAAGGCAGCAGCAGGAGAGCTGCAGGAGGACAGCGGGTTGCACGCCCTGGCCCGGCTCTCCGAGATCGACGTCTCCACGGAGGGGGTGAAAGGCGCCAAGAACTTCTTCGAGGCCAAGGTGAGGCAGGTGCTGGGCAGAGGGATCCCACTGCAGGACGGTGATGCACGAGGGCAGTTTGGTGCCGGGTGGGAGGTGGAGATGTTGGGGTGTGCAGGAAGGCTTGGCAGGGGTCCCAGCTGGACATGTCCATCCGCAGGCACAAGCCATCAACGAAGCCAGCCGCTTTGAGGAGGAGATCAGGGCGGAGCAGGAGGAGAAGAAGAAGCAGGCGGAGGAGCTGAAGCAGAGGAAGGCGGCCTTCAAGGAGCTGCAGTCCACCTTCACACAGTGACGGGGCTGGGCAGGACTGGTCAGCGGTGCCCGGGCTGGGAACGCTGCATGTGCCACGTGACAACGGTGCCGGGAGCGATGCCAGAGCCACGTGCTGCTCCGGCTGCCAACGAGATCCCGGCGCGGGCTCGGCACAGCGCCCACCTTGCTGGCAGAGCCCGGTCGGCCCCAGCTCCCCCCTCCCCTCTTGCTGTGGTGTCTGTAGGTGTTGTTCGTGCCCCCTCCCATCCCCAGCATGCCCCCCACCCTGAGCAGCCCCTGTTCCATGCCCGCAGCTGCGCCGGGGGTTGCTGCTGCTGAGTCCCAGGGGAGCCGTGTCCAGAATGCCCGTCCCTGGGACACCTGTGCCTGGACTGTTGTCTGTTGTGTGTGTGCTGGGAAGTTTGCAGGATGGGGGCTTGCCCAGGTGGCCGTGGTGGGTGTTGTGGTGGCCGCACTGGCTCAGTGTCTGTCGGTATTGCCACATGTGACACGGGTGACAAAGGCTGTGGCGAGGGCCAGGTGCTGGCAGACGGGCTCTGTGTGTGTGTGTGTGTGTGTGTGTGTGTGTGTATGTGTGTGGTGCTGGGGGGTGGGTGCCCACCCTGCTGGCATGGAGCCCCCAGGAGCTGTGTCTCTCTTTGTTTTGGTCGAAGACATGCAGAAAGGCAGCTGCTGGCTCGTGGGGCTGTATTATGTTTTTTCATGTTGTATTCAGCCTGGGAGGGTGAGCGTGGTGGCCACAACTGGTTGCCATCATCATCATTGAGGCTCCTGTGTTGGTGGGTGGCTGTAAAGACCCACATTTGTCCCACACTGTCCCCTGAGTGGCAATATAGGGGGTGTGTTATGTTTTTTTTAATTTAATCCCAAATAAATATTATATTTCTTAAGTGCTGGGTGCTCTGGTTGCAGCCGTGGGACGGGCTTGTCTGTGGTGGGGGCTTGGGTGGGGGGAAGGAGCCTGGGAAGTGGGGTGTGACTGTGGGCACCAGGTGGCCACTGCAGGAGGTGGCAGGGAACGGGAGTGACGCTTGGCAATGTAGGGACATTGGCATGGGAAGCAGCAGGAACCCGATCCAGGTGTGGGGACACAGTGCTCTTGAAGGCCATCAGCAGCACTGCTGGCACCTGCCCCCTGAGCAACCCTGTGGCACCTGTGGGGTTTGGCTGGTCTTGGCCACGTCGAGCATGAGATAACGGGACCTTGTCCCTGAGGGGTGGTGGTGTGGGGGGCTGTGCCCTGGGGCAGTTGGTGCTCGAGTTTGGGGTACAGCAGGGCTGACCAGCACCCCACAGAGAGCAGTGTGGATGGGGCACCCACCAGCTGCCCCCCAGGAGGGACCCTGCCCATTCCAGAGCAGGGCCAGGTGTGTCTGACACATCCCATCGTGGTGCCAGCACACCGTGGGCAGATGTGGCCGTTCCCAGGCGGGACAGGGAGTGTGATAAGATGGGTAGATGGGGCTGAGGAGCCCCGTGCCCCCAGTGTGGGAGAGTCCCCACATGGCAGCAGAAGGAGGGGCCACTCCAAGGTCCCCAGGCCCTATAAGAAGGGTGAGCAGCCCCAGTGCAGCACCTTTGGTCAAGCACAACCATGCTGGGAGCCATCTGTCTCGTCGTGCTGCTGGGCTACGGTGGGTGCAGGGGATGGGGAGGGGATGGGGCAGGGGGGAACGGGACCCTGGTGCCTTCCAGGACTCTGGGCATGGGCTCAGGCAGCCTCTGATATCCCTGTTCTGGGTGTCACACAGCCTATGGATGCGGCCAGCCGGCCGTGCCACCACAGCTGGGCACCCGCGTGGTGGGCGGTGAAGACGCTGTAGCCCACAGCTGGCCCTGGCAGGTAAGGGGGGCACGGGGATGGGGGTGGGGACAGGGGTGGGGACATTCCTGCTCTGACCCTGTGCCTCTGCCATCACAGATCTCACTGCAGTACGAGAGCTCTGGATCTTGGTACCACACTTGTGGCGGGACCCTGATTGCCCCTCAGTGGGTGCTGACGGCCGCCCACTGCATCAGGTGGGTGTCAGGGTGCTGGGTGAGGTCTGTGCCATGGAGGTAAGGCATTTGTGGGTACTGACACCCTGCTTTTTTCCCTGGGCAGCTCTTCCTTGACGTACCGTGTGCTGCTGGGCAAGCAGGTCCTGTCGGAGGATGACGAGCCTGGCTCGGTGGCCGTGGGTGTGGAGAAGACGATCGTCCATGAGAAGTGGAACTCCTTCCTCATCATGTAGGGGATGGGATGTGTTAGAGATGGATGGAGGGTGTTGCCGCCAGGGACCTCCATCCCCACAGCCCTGGACTGATCCTCATGCCTCATCTGTCCCCACAGCAACGACATCGCCCTGATCAAGCTGGAAGAGGAGGTGCAGGAGAGCGATACCATCCGGGCCGCCTGCCTGCCCGACGCCGACAAGATCCTGCCCAACGACTACCCCTGCTACGTCACCGGCTGGGGACGCATCAGGAGTAAGCAGGGGGTCCCCAGAGGGTCCCTGGGGAGGGGGGTGCAGGCACAGGGTTTGTGAGGTACGAGGTTTACATGCCATTACAGCCTACGGGCCCCTGGCCGATGTCCTGCAGCAGGCTCTGCTGCCCGTGGTGGACTATGAGACCTGCTCCCAGAGGAACTGGTGGGGCAGCAGCGTGCGCACCACCATGGTGTGTGCCGGCGGTGACGGCATCGTCTCTGGCTGCAACGTGAGTGCTGGCACTGCAGGGCGGCGGGGGGGGGGGTCGAGGCGTGGGGGACCGCAGCCCTGGGGGGGGGGGGGATGGGGCCGTGGGGGTGGATGGCCAGGGGTGCATCAGCAGGGAGCCCAGGAGTGCTGGGTGTGGAGCACGTACCTCTCTGTGCAGGGCGATTCCGGCGGCCCCCTGAACTGCCAGCGCGAGGACGGGATCTGGGAGGTGGAAGGGATCGTCAGCTTCGGCTCCGGGCTGAGCTGCAACATGATCAGGAAGCCGACGGTGTTCACCCGGGTGTCCGCCTACATCGACTGGATCAACGAGGTGGGTGCCCCTTCCTCTGCCCCCGCACAGGGGTTGGCCACGCTGCCCCTGCCCCGCCGAGGGTCTCACCGTGGGCCCCCCTGTGTCTTGTCTTTGGCAGAAAATAAGCTCCAACTGAGGACTCGGCACGTGGAGATACAAGTGTTGAGTGTGATAAAGGCAAAAGTGCTGACCTGGTCTCGTGTGGTTCTTTGGGGGGGTTGTGGTGGAACTGAAACCCGGGGCTGTGTCTTGTGGTCCTGGGGCTCTGCCCCTGTGCTGGGGAGAGTCCCCCCCATCGTGCAGAGGTCCTGGGGAGGGTGACATGGGCAGACATCCCGCAAAGTGCTCAGGTGGGGGCAGAGCCATGGCCATCATCAAGCCCAAGGGCTCGAGGTTTGGCTGGTGGTTTGATGGGAGAGGGGCTGGAGTCTGGCTGGATGGTCTTGGGGGGTCATAGTGAGGTAGATCTCCAGCAGGATGCTTCAATCCAGTGGTACCTAAAAACAGCTTCAGTGCAAGCAATGGGCATTGGCAGTTCCCAGCCACGTTTTCTGGCTTCACCACAAGGATTTGAGACCAGAAGAGACCAGAACAGAAAGCAGATCCTCTCTGTCTCACTCTGGCCACGGCCTTTCAACCCCCAGCATCGCCCTAATTGGCTCAACCTGAGCCTGCCCCCAATTCCCCTCACTTGGGGCAGGCAGTTCCTGCTCCCTGCTCTCTGCTCCTAATTCCCAGCCATCCCTTCACCCAAACCCAAACCCCAGGCTGGGAATTGCTCTGCCTGCGGCACAAAACTGCCTAAAAGTGTCAGAAATGCTTCCCAAAGAAGCAGGGAAATACCTACTGACTGCCCCTCAGCAGCACAGACCTCCCCTAAGACCACTGCACCTCCCAAGGGCTGCTCTGAGGATTCTTTCTCCCCCAAAATCCCACACACATCCAGGGTTTCTGATCTGAAATGGTCACTGCAGCAGTTCCTGAGGGCAAGTATTTACCTCAGCTCTGATATTCCAAAGAATCCTCATCAGCTTCCTGCTGTAACTCCCGTTTAACACCCAACTGATTCCTCGGAAGGAGGAGGACACCTGCTCCACAGGCTGGCACAGCCACACTAGAAACTCTCCCAGCAACAGCAGGGGTTCAGCATTTACATGAGCTGAGGTCCTCCTGCTCTTCCCATTTCAGAGGAGCCTCTGGAAGGTGCTAAAATGGCAATCAGGAGATGGAACAGAGGAGGGAATACAGCAAAAGATATGCTTTTTCGTTGCATTTATTAGAAACACTGATGGCAAAACTCATCCCAGTACACCTGAGGGTACACTTGATCCCATCAATCAGTTACCCGGGCAGCACAGGACACAAATATCAGGATCAGCAAGGAAAAACACTCTGAGGCCAAGCATGGCCACGTGAAGAGCCAGAGGTGCTCTCCTCTGGCTCCAGAGGCTCCAGGGCAGCATGTACCCCAGAAAAGGGGCTTCCTGCTCCTGTCCCCAGCATTTCCCATGGGCACAGCACGATCTCCACCTCATCTCAACTTCACAGCAAGGACAGTGTTTGCAGATCACATTTCTCCAGACAAATATCTCGAGAGACAGACAAAATCCACGGGAGCATCGACGCCGAGTCGTGGCAGGCACAGATTTCACTGGGCCACAGGGAAGGAACTCTCACACTTGGCAGGGACCTCGGAGCCCAAGTGTCAGTCACACATGAAGTAGAATTTTTTACGGAGGAAGTTGAAACATCCTGGGATCTGCTTGTAGCTCCCCTTGGCTGAGACAGCATTTGCCACCTGAGAACAGATGGAGAGCAGTTGGGGAGCAGATGCTCTCCTGACTGTTGCAGGAAGCTTGGGAACAGGGGTCAGGAATGGGACTATGGACATGAGAGATGGCAGGGCTCTTAATGAGACATTTTTGCTGGCAAAGGCAAAGTGAACTCAGGGGAACATGCTTTCAAGAAACCTCAGCCACACCACCAACCCCTGCCTCTGGCAAGCGCTTCTTGGCATGAGCCAGAACTCCCTCCTCCCCTTTGGGAATTCAATTAAAAGCAAATTCCTTTCCACCCATTTTCTTCCAGATGTGCCTGTCACTTCCCCAAGGTGGTTTCCTTACACTGAACACCAGCCAGCAGAGAGGAGCTCGTGCTTCTCCCTTGCAATTGCTAACTGCTGAGCCACCACATGCCAAAGCAGCACAGTGACATCCAAACCCCATCCTCCAACCCCAGAACATGCTCCTGACCCAAGTCCCATCAGCTTGGATTTAGAGGATGGGACAAGCTACACCATTTTAAGCAATTTCCTTGGAAAGATTAAAGCCTGTATTGCCAGGATTACTCCTCGCCGGAGAAACCTCGCGGTGATTTTTGGCAGATTGAGGCCAGACACTTTCTTCGTAATTAAATCTCTCTGCAGTACCTCCAATTAGCCCATCCCTAAAGTCAACACTCAGTATCCTCATTCCTTTTTTAATTGTAGGCCTCCACACCCTGACTAATCACATTCCTGACTATTTTCTTCATCATGACCACAAAAAGAAGGCAAAAAAAAAGACATTTACCCGCAGTAACATGTTCAGCAGGTCTTCTGAACGGGCATATCTCTCCAGCACACTGTCCAGTGTCTCCACGTACCACGAGCCAGTCGCCTCCCTCCAGGAGACAAAACCTTCAGAGAAAGAAGGAGAATGTTATGCCAAAGCCCATCTGCTGTTCTCATCCTGCTCAGTTCCTGCCGCCCCAACGGAGCCGTTGCCCTGAACTGCCGCTGACTTTGGCTACGAAGCTCCGACTTTTCTGCTAATTCCTCTGTGCCCAGCAAAGTACTGTCACCTGGAAAAGTTGAGTAGGAGACCAAGATGTCGCTGGGTGTGGGCAAACAGGCAAT